GGGGGCAGGGGGGTCTCGGGATGCGGTTGTGGTGCAAAAAGATGAAGAAATCAATAAATCTGCAGAACTTAAGACGCCCAAAATAGTTTTGCCGCACAAAAAGTGCACAATCACGATGTTAACCAGAGATTTAAGTTACAAACAATTCATTTTTCAACCTCCACAGGTTGAAGATTCCAGCAAGGAATACATTTAAGAAAACAAATTATTTAATTTTTGCAAGTGCTTTGTGATTGCTGTCGGAGGGGGGGAAAAAGTTTGAAAATAAAGCAATTTTTCCCACTCAACTTTTGGTCTATTTGTGCCGCTGCGTTTCGGTGCATTAGGTCTGCGCGCCGGCGTGCAGCGCGGTATAGGTTGTGGGTAGATGGAGAGCAACACTGCAGGATTAAGAGGCAGCAAGATTGTTAAACATGTCAACGTGTAATAGCACGATAAGGCCCTTCCGAGGAATTCATTGGCCCAGCTGCTTTCTCTATTCCGCGCTAATCTCGCCCGGCACATTCGCTCTGTGCAATCTGTCTCCATAATCTTCTGTGACAGAGAGCGGGCGAACGAGAGCAGGCTGCTTGGTAATTTTTTTCTCTCTCTTTTTTTTTAAGAAAGAGAGGAGGGGGAGACGCGGAGAAAATATGCAGAGGCGTGATAAAGTGACGCTAATTATCCCCATTTAGGACAGGGAGTGCAAGGGATCGGGGCTGTGCGAACAACCGATTGTGCTGCTGCTGCTGATGGCCTCATAGCTCGGAATATATCGGTGGCTACAAGATAAGAGGATCGCGCGCAGGAGAGATTTATTGGCTGGTCAGCTATAAACACAGAGGCGGCGGCGGCGCGCAAACACACACAGAAACGCACTCACGCACGAGTTGTAGCAGTAACCTGTTCTGCCACATATATAGCGTTCCACCCTGCACCCCACCCCCTTCCTCTTCCACCTCAAGGTGTAATTTATGCGGGTTAAATTTGCCAGAACGCTCTCTCTTTGAACCTGGCGATGCGCCGTGACGCGCTCCGCCTCTCTGAGCTTTCACTGCTAAATCCGCATCTCTTCACATCAAGCAGATAAGACCAGAAACAGATGCGAAACACATGGACACCTCCCCGCCTACCCCGCTTTAGCCTTAAGGTGCGGGAATGACTCAAATGCGTTTTGTTATTTTTCTTCTTCTTCATCTTCTCTTCAGGAGTTTAAAAACTTGTTCCCAACAGATTAACGCACATTCGCGACGCATCATTATGAGGTTAATTGACAAGCCGTGCAAGTCTTCATCAGTGTGAAATCGGCCCTTTAACTATGTATTTGAGAATTGATTTTTAACATGCATAAAGGAGACATAAATTCCCTTCATTTGCATGTGTATGACTATTAGTCGTTTATATCTTTAAGCCCTGCGGAGATCAAACTGTCAAAGCTGTCAAAGATGAAATCATCTCAGAGGCATTTCAATTCCTAAATTACCTTTAAGAGGATTGGAT